TTGAAAAGTTTTTTGTTACTGTCTCTTTTTCCTGATTAAAGGCTGACTGATCTGTCCAGCCAACTCTGTTGTGCAGAGTCATGGCGAGCACTTCCTGTGTTGTTTATTTACCTTGCACTGAGCTTCCATAGATCCTCTGCTGTTCATGCTTGTCCTGCCAGAGAGCTGAAGTATTGGCAGTGACGCATGTGTACAGTTTCTCGCTCACGTACACATAATCAGGAGTGTGCTAATCTTTCAGCAAGGGGCGAGATCTTAAAGCTTTTACGCTGCCTTCATACCAATATTTCTTTGCTTTTTGTCATGTTCGGGGCTTTTTGTTTACACCAAACATTGAACTTTATAGTTTCTTATGGAGTGGTTTTTGCGACTTTAGTATCATTGACCTTTTGAGTCTGAATTTCCCTTTAATCGTCAGAGATAAACTTCCTTCCCTCTTATCAGTAGCTCATCCTTAGAATGGGAAGTTACTTCTCATTTCATTAGTATGATTACACTTTTTCCATATCATCTCCTTCCCCACCCACAACCGCCTGCCCTTCTGCTTCTACCCATGCAGATTCTTGGAAACCTTTTTGCTCCATGTACTTTGACTTTTGACACCTGGCTTACTCAAGAAAATGCCTGTGTGTGTGTGTGTCTGTGCATGTGTGTGTTTCTGAGTAAGCAGGAGGTGACATTGGATATGTTCACTGAAGTCCTTCTCCTAAAATTTCTTGTAAATTTCAATCTGATTGTGTGGAAGGTCGCTGCTAAACGTGTCACATAGTACACAAGAGAGGAAAAATGTTTTGTCTTCCTGCCTTTCCGAAACTCCAGGACTGTTTACATCTCAAGATGTGCCTGTGGATCAAACAATTAAAAAAATCAAGCCAACAGCAAAGTGCCAGAATCTACAGTTCCTCCCATGGCCTGCTGATACTGGAATCCAAAAGCAAGTAAGATCCCACCATGGTGTTTCAATTGGGTTGAGGTCTGGACTTTGACTAGGCCATTGTGTTCATTGGTGTGTTTGAGGTCATTGTCCTGTTGCATGAACCAGTTTGGACATTCCAGTTTTAATTAAGCCAAAACCAAAGTACCTGAATCTGCAGTTCCTCTCATGGCCACTTGACACTGGATCCAAAAGCGAGTAAATCCTCATAGACTGCCTTGTTAACAGGAATTTATGCTACCGTGTTCGTTTTCAGAGATGTTTAGCTCCAATAGAAATAGGATGCACTCTCTTTTTAACATGACTGTATGCAGAGTCAATAATAATGAGTTTGCCCTCCAAAAAGCCAAGTGTGTGTAGCCTGATGGCAGGGCTACTATGTGTAGACAGAGTGCAGGTGTCTGTAAATTTAGAACAGAAAAGGAAGTGACAGCAGAATTCACCACAAAGAGGAAGACGAAAAACACCAATCAAAGATCAAAAATGCAACATGAGAGGTGGTTTTCATTATTTTTAACACCAAGTTTCACTTCGCTCTAAAGAAGTTATTTGTGTAATATAATTCCTGTCTTCTCCACGTGCAGAGGCTGAACACACCAACCGCAGCATGAACAAGGGTCACCAACAGCCTGCTGATGATTGTACAAAGCAGCTATGGACTGTAAAACCAGTGCTAGTATCTTTAAAATATCCAACTATATGACAATAAATACCATTTAGAGACTGGTACTACTATGGTTTATCCCTCTATGGACAGTTTCCCCCCTTTGTGCCTTTGTTTCACTATACATAACTGAACCTCTATCACCAATATACAAATGACATTACAGTCATGGTCATTATTTCACTGTTTTGTTGTTGTTAATATTGTTGTTAACATGTGAATAATTCAAAGGCCATTTAAAACATGTAAAACGTAAGTACTTCCACATTTGGAGTAATTTTTTTTTGTGTTTTGTATCAGATGACATGCTGACCCAAATTGCAAAAAAGCAGACATGCTGTTCTGCTCAAACCTGCCTATGTGATATGTGATCATATCTCAGGATTCAGCTGTCGACAGCCGATTAGTCAGTGGCAGCTGAGATCCAAGTGCTCTTTACATGACTTGCAAAGAAGAAACACTACCTGGGTGTGTCGGTCGTTGTGATTTCCTTTGTAAACTGTCGAGATTTCCACAGTTCCTGTTTCCACGATCAAATGTCTGTAGACCTTTTTCTACAGCTAAACTAAGTGATTATTGGTTGTGACACAGTTTTGGCCCACTCTTCTATCCACAGCTTTTTAAGGTCACGAGTTTTTAGTCAGGTTGAGGTCTGGACTTTGACTGAACCATTGCACCATCTTGATTTTCTTTTTCAGCCATTCTGTTGCAGATTTTCTGCTGTGTTTGAGGTGCTCACACTGAAACACAGAAATAATCAATTGTAATCAATAACTGATTATCAGCATCTGGCTGCTACTTATCCCTTTAAATCCCACGTAAGCAGTGAGTACTTTTCACAGGACTGCACTCAGTACTGTGAAACCGTTGTTTTTTCATATGACTTTATGTATTTAGTTTTACTAACATGACATTACATATTGGGACTATTCTATTGACCAATGTGATCGTGCATGTATAAGCATGGAAAAACCCAAGGCATAAACACTTGTCTCTTTGGGAACTGGGAAAATACAGCAGAGAGAAGCATACTGCACCAGAGATGTACTGTTGAGATCGATGAGGGACAGAGACACACATACACATACACACGTACATGTAGATAGAAATTCCTTGATTTACCAGCGGGATTATTACTACATCCAGTGATAACAAATCACGATGCAGTACAGCCTGACTCAACACGTGCTGAGGCATTCATCAGACTTTTACTTACTCCTATTGATAAAGAGAAACCTTTACAAACAATTTGTTGTAACAGGCTGGTTAAACCTGTTCATCAAGCCCCAAGTGAAGTGGCAAAGAAAACAATAAGTGGTTTTGTTTCACAAACCACCTGTTTCATTCTTTTCAAGCCGGTGGTGTCACTTCCTGGTAAGAGGAATTTGACTCCGGTGAATAAACGGTGCAAAGAAACCCTGTAAGTGCACAATATCAGAGTTAATGTCAAGACTGAGTATGTCTTTGTTTGGATACAGCGGAGCCCTGAGATAAAAAAAAAAAAAAAACGACCTCCAGTGAAGACGACTACAATTATATTGTTCTCCAGTTCAGTTGTATTTATTTAACAGCAATTCATCAGAACAGTAATCTCACGGCGAGCTGATATTGTAAGGTAAAACTCTTTAATTCCAGTAGCGACAGTGGTGAGGAAGAACTCGTTCTTTAACTGAAAAGACCTCTGACAGCAGCAGTCAGAGGTCACACATCATAAATGCTGCAGATGGTCACACAGTTGCTGTGAACATGTTGCAAAAATCTTATTAGACAAAGTCACTTGTGCAGCAGGCAGCAGCTGATGACGGATGTGTTTGTAGCAGCTGGACATCCAGTTCCTTTCAGGCTGAGCCCTCACGAGCAGCTCCCCGACAGTCAAAATGCCAAATGTCAAACCAAATGCTACACGTGTAAATGTGTAGTGACCCCAGATGGTGTAAATCTGCACATGAAGCGAGCCGCAAATCCACGCATTTCCCCTTTTTCTGTTTTCTTTCTGTCTGGTTTGACTGGACGGGTGGAGGCTCACTTGACTCCCACATAGCCCTTCCTGTCAAACATCAGAGCCCTATCCCGTCTTATGTTTATGAATAATCAACCAGCAGGAGGTTGATCAGGGCCCGATGCAGTCATCGTTGACATCATCGCTGTGCATCACACCATTACGATGGGGTGCTAATGCATCATCATCAGTTAGTGGAAGAGGGTGAAGCATCTTAGTGTCAATGATTCTGTGATTAAGACTTTTGTTTTTCACTTTTAGTTTAGTATATGAATATTGAAATGCTAGAAAGTGAGTGTGCAGCCACTAAATGTTGCTTAATTCCAAGGCAATGCGACAGATCTAGAGACGTTCATTCTCCATCCTGATGGCCTGAAAGTTTTTTCTGAGTCTCTGAGAGTTTAACCTCAAAGTTTAAGCTGTAATCTTGAATCAAAGAGATCTAAATAAAAAAAATTAGTCATCTACAGAAATGTAAACAGTATAGAGGGGGTTAAAAAGCACATCCTGCAGTTTAACAAGAAGTCAGACCACAAAAGAAAATGTTTAGGAAGTGAACTTTATTTAAATAAATAGCCACATAAATAAACAACTTTCTTCAACTAACATTTCTTCTCCTTCCTTCCTCCCTCCTTCTGTTCCTCTTTATAACCTCACACACACACACGCATGCATCCATACACACAAAGACGTGCTCATGCTCACACAGTCAAGTAACAAATCAGGAAAAAAAACATGAAATACTTCTTATCCAAAGTTTATCACAAGGGTAATTTTACAGGTTTGCATCGAAAGTCTTAGTGTTTCAAAAGATTTGTGATTTTTTTCCCATTGTGAGAAAAAAACGAAAGAAAAAAAAATCAGCAATAAGAAATATGAGTAAAGTGCAAATCTCGCTTGTTTAGATAGCAAGTTCAAAGGTCAAAGAAAATATCAAAGGGGACGTCTGAGGAAATGTCCTGTAATGGAGCCATCGATCGTTTTTTCTTCAGTGTGGCGATCAGAGAGGAGGGGCTGGGGGTGGGGCAATCTGACTGCAGTTTGTTCAGGCAAAGGCACAGGTGTTGAAGTGAGTGCAATAAACCGAGGGGGGGAAAAAGTCAGGTGGGTCAATAGAATCAAAATTGCACGTTTTCGAAAAAAGAACCGGGCTCGAAAAGACACAGCTCTCACCTACAAGATGTTTCACAGACATGAGACAGCTAACTACGTTCACATTAATACACATCTGTTACAGCTTTCAAACACCTTAACTCGACTGCCTGCACATTCAACTCAGCGCAGGACATCTGTGTCTATTTCAAGCTACTACTGAGCAATTGAAGAAAGTTCCACTTGCTGCACATTATGGTATTGCTATGTTCTGATTGTTTTCTTCTTCTTCTTTTTTCTTTCTTTCTGTCTTTTTTTTTTTTTTTTTTAGAAAAGTACAAAACAAACACTACCATGGTCCTCATAGTAACAGCTAGAGATACCCACAATACACGTAGCATTAGGATTTGGTGGCAGCGGGAGTTTTTCTTTTCTTTTGTCTCACAGCAAAAGGCTAAGGAGATCGTGTGAAATTGGTTCGCTACACCACCACGCTACATCTTGGAGACAGCATTCAAAGAGGAAAGTCAGTAGTGTGTCTTTTGACAGATCCTCTATTTCTTGTGCTGTTGAGTCTTTGGTAAAACCCAAATTCTTCCTTTCGGATCTACAAGCATGCTGTGTGAATAAAAAAAGCAAAAAAACAACAAAAAAAACCAAAACAGCATTTTGAAATGCCTCGAGCCTCTTCTCTAAGTCACTACAGTATCATAAGAAGTACCTCTTCTAGTCAGCTAGCTAGCACGGCAAGATGAAACACACACACACACAAAAAAGAAAGACGAACACAAAACCTCAGGCAAGTACACGTGGAGTTTTTGACCATCCTATGTTAAGCCTCATTTCCATTGGTTTTTTTCATGTAAAATATTGCACTGTTCCCACAGTCTTTGTTCCGTACGAAAAACCCTCTTTCTCTGATATTCAACCTGCTCATTAGCGTTTAAAGGTTTTCCTTAACCTTTCCAAATTGTTGCCTGAGGAGGTAGTAATAGCATCTAAAAAGAAAGGTGCTTATCAGACAAAGGAGAGGGAGGGGTATGGATCCACACATGTAGGGTGCTACCAGGCTGACTGATGTACCTGCTGTGCTTTAACTCAACCAGCAAAACACCGCCTTCACTCAGTTTTGGCTGATGAGGGTGTAGCAGTCTTTTTGCAGCTTGAGGTAAAAGCAGCGTTTTGCGTCACTAAAATTAACAATCTTGCACAGAAAAAACAAACGGGGGAAAAAAAATATCACAGTTTCAGTAAAAATAAAAATCATCTCCTTCGGTGTACATTTGTAAGCTTAGGTTACTATACTGCGTGTTCACTGCACTGCTACAGAGAAATGTCTCTTCAGGAAGGTGAACAAAGTGGGGAGACTGAAAATAATATGAATTTTGGTCTTCTGTCCAGGCAAGTGAAAAACACTGAGAGCGCTTACACAAGTGGCAAAAAAAACAAACAGGAAAAAAATGGAAGAGTGAACTTTCCTGTTAAAAAAACAGATCAAAAGGTAAATCTAGACAGCATAAAAATGTGAGAGTGACTCAGCAACGTCAGCTATTCAAGTGAGTCCATCAGAGCCGAGGAGAGTCTATCAGTCTGTTATTGCTTCTCTGGCTGTTACAAATCGAACACTTCATCCAGAGTTTGGTTTATTGCTTAGTCTTTAGCTTATACGATTAGAAAAAAAACATACAAACAGCGAACACATGTGCAGACACATTCTCACGTGTACCTCATAAAGACAAATTCGTCACTTGCGTCTGCTGTTTTTGTTGTTCTTCACTTCTGCTCTCTTTTCTTCTGCGCTCAGCATCAAGTCTTTTTTGGCTCTTCCACCAAGAGAACATTCGCCGGTCTCGCTTGGCCGATGATTTACTTCACCATCACACAGCTGCTGAGCTGCTGCTGCTGCTGCTGTCCAGACATACCCAGCTCCTGCATGTCGGGGTCTGTGCCGGAGACCAAGCCCATCCTCCACATGGCTGACTTGGAAAGGATGGGGAAATTGCCTTGTGCTGCAGACTGTTGACGGAGGCCAGTGTGGTGGTTAGGGTGGGGTTGCTGGCTGATGTGTAGACGTGCCTCGAGAAGGTAGGCAGCAGAGGCCACGGGGGACAGAGAAGAGGAGTAGCAGGGTGAGGATGAGCAGCCCGTGGCGGAGGTCTCGAGGGTCTGTTGCCAGGGACCCTGCTGCAGACCCACTGAAGCCTGCTGAGCAGGGAGGACGGGTTGAACAGGGTTGTCAAACATGGAGGAGGAAGCAAACACGGTAGTAGGCGGAGGAGATGGTGACTGTTGGTGTGCCAAGAAGAGCAGGGGCTTCTGTTGAGGTCCTGTCTGAGGGGCTTGGACCTGAGGCTGTGGTTGGTGCTTAATCTGCAGCATTCTGGGAAATGAGATGAGATTTGTTATCAACAGCTCGACTTTGGGGGTTCGATTGTTTGTAGTTTATGAAATTAACAATCCCATAATGCTTTGTGCTCCTGCAATAATGTGACTCACCTTTGCTGGTGCAGCACCTCCTCCAGCATGCTGCGGTGCTCAGAGAGAGCTGGACCCAGTGACCCCCGGCTACCGCGGTTACAGGAGGGTGATGGGGCAGCCTGCCTTGTCAGACCCTTGATCTTATTCAATCCCAGAAGTCCTTTAGTGCGCGTGTTTTTCCTCAGCTGCTGGCGGAAAGCTTTGAGGCCTGCGTGAAGACATGGGAAACTGTTATGCAATGCAGCGTTGATCCTACTACATGGTACGTGTGAGAAAACCTGAATACCAGCTTAGGCAGGTGGCATATAGGAAATGATTTCAGGATCATGTGTGTGTACCTTGTGTGAGGGAGGTGTCAGAGGCTCTGCGACCCTCCTGGAAGCTGGCAGGGGGCAGGCTGCCCTGGGCCTGGGGCAGGAGGTGGGAAGAGAGAGCCAGGGGAGCTCCAGCAGACAGCAGAGCTCCTCCCTCAGCCCCCGAGGCCCGAAGTGTTGCCACCCCACCTACAGCAGCTTGCAAAGTGGGGGCAGGACTGGAAGAAGACTTCAGGCAGCTGTCAGAGGAGGCACCGTCTGAGGGGCTGACCACGATACCTAAAGAAACAGGAGAGGTCAAGACTCTGCATCGCTACAAGAATGAATAACGTGCGTGCGCATGTATATTATACTAACATGGAGGGTTGCACTGGTGGAAACGGGCGGAGACCTCAGCCAGAGTGTGTCTGCGAGAGGTGGTGGTTGGAGGGAGCAGGGGCCCGAGAGTTTGCGTCGCCTCCTCCTCCTCCAGGTCTCTGGGTCGCACCTCTTCGCTGATGCTTGTCTCCAGCAGGCTGTTGGGTGAAATGGAGCGGTTCCAGAGCAATCTGTTCAGACTGGCCTCCACTGGAAACACTACACGCTGAAAAGGAAGGAGGTCGACTGTTAGCCACTGACTGTTAGCAGGGCAGGGTGCAGCTTTTGCATTTGGTATATTAGTATAGATGCAAGAGAGCGTGCTATTCAAGAAATCTACCTGAAACAATCCAGCTTGGTCACACTCCACCTCTGAGTACACAGGGGGGGTGTTTTTGGTTGGAAGTGAAAACGCTGTTGTTCTAAAACTCTCAGTGGACTCCATGATCACCTAGAAGGAAGCAGAAAGCACAGAGATTATTAAACTTCATGCAAATAAGAATGGAGATTGATAGTCAGAGCCGGCTACATGCAGCTATCGTGCTGACCTCTGGGCTTGTGGAGTCAGAGGTGCTCCTTGGTCTCTGGCTCCATGTTCCACACTGGCGGCTCAGCTGCTGTGCACGATGCTCCCGCACTCGCTCCAGCAGCAGGTAGTAGATGGCAGAGAAGTGGTTGTAGCTGCTGCTCTGCAGAGACTGAAGATAAGGTCAGAAGATTAGTCATTTTGCCATTTTGTTTACTTTCTGTGGCTTGTAATGACAGTTTATAACCAGTGCTCTCTCTTTATAGCTTTCTTTAGCACCTCTTTAAAACTTTTAAGAGAAAGACAAATATAGCTGTATATATCTGCATTTATATATTTGGAGATGACAGAGTGCGAAATCTATATTTAAATACAGAATAAGGTCTTTGAAGGAATACAATGTAGGTTCAACTTAAGAGAGAATGAAAACTGCAGCCTACCCGCTGCCTGTAAACCCATAAACTGTGTATTTTTACTGTGACTGCAACACTTTCATAAAACCACTAAACACATATTGATTCTTGTTCACTCACCTCGATAGTCCTCTGACGGTCAATGCCCAGTGTATTCATGATGCCCAGCACGGGTTCGCTGTAGTCGCCCAGGTTGGAATTGTACTCCGTGAGAGGATGGCTGAGGATCTGGTGCGCAGCTGACGGATCCGCCATCATCCAGCGGTGTTGCTTGATCTGAGCAATGCTGATCCTTTTGGCTGGATCCACCACCAGCATTTTACGGATCAGATTCTCACAGTCTAAAGGACGCAAACAGTGAATGAGTCTCTGTATGTAGTTTACACCGTTTTAGTAATTTGCGGTAATTGTTGTTGGGATAATTTATACCTTGTGACATAAAGAAAGGGATTCTGAATCGTCCCTCGGTGACTCTCTGCCGGAGCGCGGGAAGGCTGGCTCCGTCGAACGGAAGAGAGCCGCAGACGAGGACATAAAGCACGACGCCGAGACTCTGCGAAGCAAAGAGCAAAAAGGAGAATGTAATCACGATTATGTAAATGTCATCGCTTCCTCTGTCAGTAATGCCGTATTACATTCCCGGAGCTTACCCAAATGTCCAGCTGAGGCCCTTCATACTCCTTCCCTTCAAACACTTCAGGGGCAGCATAAGGCGGGCTGCCACACCACGTAGACAGAGGCTCCCCTGCATTGTAGAAGTTTCCAAATCCAAAGTCTGCACACAGACACAAGTGTACAACACTTTTTTTTAATCAAACTTGTTTGCTTTCCATTCCAGCTTGAAGCGCTGCAGGCCCTATGGTGCAGATTTATTACTGTTCATGGTGTGTTATGTAATTTATCATCATGAGATATTCATCAACACTTCAAAGTAAGCTTGGGTTAACATATCTTCTCATACAAAAGACTGACTGTTTTCCTGTTTCTGATAATTTGGCTCTACAGTTTCTTCATGTAAAAGCGTGTGATTGTGTGCTGAGTTCATTTCCTCTGGTTGGTGCTTGTCTTAGTAAAATGAGTGAATAATTAACATTTAATTAGCACATAGATGGCACAACAATGATTTGATTAGAATCCCAGAGCACCAAATATGTTCTTCAGGCGTAAACTGAACAGAATACAGAAACAGCAAGTAGGTACAGAAGGACGTTGTTGCATTAAAAACCATTAACACTCTACATCTCAACACCTTCCCGCCAGCCAGCACTGAGAATATGATCGACCTACCGGCCAGTTTGATATTCATGTTGGCATCCAGCAACAGGTTCTCAGTTTTTAGGTCACGGTGAACGATGTGGTGCCGATGGCAGTAGTCCACCGCGGCGAGGATCTGCCAGAACTTCTTTCGTGCTTCATCTTCACTCAAGCGGCCATTTGAGGTTAGGTGGTCTGCAGGGAGAGAGGATCCAGACTATCAGGATCAGACTCTTAGGAGGGTCTATTATGAGGTTACTTCCTTTTTCCATGCTTTTATTTTGCCAGTGGCCTTTTAATTGTCATGGAGAGTTAAAATTAACCTCTGTGTTTCTGGGTGTGCTATGTACCTTTGTGAATGCAAATGAAAAGGCTTAAGGCTTCACTCACCAAACATCTCTCCATTCTTTGCATACTCTGTCACAATATACAGCATGTCTTTGGTCTCCATGACCTAAGAGAGAAAAAGAGAAAAAAACAATGAGTGTAAACCAACTGTGTCATGGATAACCATATTTAAAAGTTCAAGTCGTTCCCAGTGTTTCATTGTAGCACGCCCCAGCATTTATAACCACCACATTCCTCATTTGCAATTGTCTCCATACACACATAAAATTTAAAAAAACACCAACACCCTGTTTTCCATTATATGCCCTGTTGCATAAGTAAACCGTCAGTGACTTCCTGTGCGCATTTTCTTCATGTCTTAAAACCCGTTTACACACGTCAATACAGACCCAAAAAGGAATGCGTAACATTCAGACTCAAACCAGCTGATCAAATGCTTGGGAATGTTTTTCTTGAGGCTGATACCAGCTGGCAGCGGATGCTAGTGTTGAATTTCAAGCTTCCCCCTATCTCTTTATATCTATGAAAACAGAGCGAGGCACATTCACATGGGCTGTTCACATGGTGTATCAGAAACACTCAAAGTGCAATCACTCAGAGCTCAACGCACTTTGTGAGACGGAAAGACGTAATTCCCGGTTCTTTCCTGGAGCTCACACAAGGCCTCCGTTTCCCATGAGAGCCCTCAGGGACAGAGCAGTTGAGCTAAAAAGGTTGCACAACAAAGCAATTATCGTCAGATGACAAAGCCCTGTCTGGATAAAGCTGCTGGCCAACTCCTAAATTGAATGTCACCAAATTCCAGTGAATGGCGGAGCTTAATTCTTTTCAGCCACCGGGCCCTTTAGAAAACCAGACAACGGTGATTCAATACACCGAGGTCCCCAAGCGGGCACAAGTCTTTATCTGCGAGATAGGGCAGCTCCCTGTCACCTTGAGGTGCAGCTGACGTCACTGTTGCGAAGAACACCCAAGGCGCGTCAAGGGCCCCCAGTCACCCCCGAATAAAGATAAAACCTTTAACATCCATGTTGGACTCCTCATTTTCCATAAGGTCAATTTAAGGTTGCTAAAAGCTGCATAATGGGAGCATAAAATTAAAAAAAAGAAAAAATCCATGAGATTTCAGGGGAATTTAAAGCGATAAGACGGGCGGTTTATGCAAACAAACAATGAGGGGGAGAGAGACTTCAATGACCTTTCAGTTTAGAGGAATTGTTTTGGTTCCCGTGAGACAAAAAAAAAGTGGAAGCAGCAGCTGATTTATCGTGAGGTCTCCCAAAAAACTGCAGGGTTACTAGAGGATGTAATCTACAGATCACAAGATGGTCTTATGTCAGTACCCTCCCTTTGTGCAGGAAGGAGAAAGAGGAGGTGACGAGGGTTGCTAACAACCATCTGACTAACATCACCTTGAACAACCCAAGGCCAGGAAGAAATTAACAAGGGACAGAGGACAGACAGCACAGCAGTGATACAACACCACAAACCTACAGATTATCATCTCGCTCTAACACAAAACAAAGACTGTCAGATGAAAAATGGTCTTTTAAATAAAATAGTTTTTTTTATTATAATTCTATCTTTTAAATTAATGAATTCCATCTCATGTTTTTCCACATAATCTAACAGAAGTGTTAGGCTTCTTTCATGGTTAATCTGTCTTTACACTCACTTGACGCATCTGAATAATGTATAAAGCCTGAATGAATGCCTTTAAACTATTTTGCATATCGTCAGAAGAGACGATCATGTACTGGGGATTTCAATTTCTATTTTATTTGTGCTTACACGTCTTAAGCGATGCATTTTTCTGTCTGCATTATGGTTAATTTGTTGAGTGGTTGGATGTTTCTTTTTCTTTTTAACATATGAAAAATTATGATATCCTCTTTAAATTATTTGTACCATCAGTGTGAAGCATTAAAAAATGTCTGTGTGGTCTTGTGAGATGAATAGAAGGAGGTTTCTAAATTAAAAAAAAAAATACTTCCATTAATACTTTTATTTAAAAAAAATAGTGGACATCTATGATGTTCGATTTCTTTATTACGTTTTTTCTCTTATAGAAATTCCTAGGAATAATATTATCCCCTTGATTCTGCAGTCTAGACATGATTTCATGGTAAGAGCTGCTCAGCCGTTTAAAACCAGATATGAACTAATGCTGAAAAGTAGCAAACAACAGAGAACAAAGCAAAAGGCAGAAAAAATCCAGAATGAAAAAAAAAAGAGAAAGGGCACTGTGTGTCTGTTTGCATGGGTGTGTGTTTGTGTGTTTGTTGCCAGACGCGTGCCGCGGTGCTTGCGAGGTCAGCTGAGGGGGGAAAAGCGGATTCTTTCGACTAAGTCTTCAATTTGATTAGCAGTAAAGCAGCGCTTTGCTGTGGGGTAGCCTTCACGTGACATGCACACACATTGCAGTGGTTTAAACAGGTTCTAATTAGGCTTAAAGTCCAGACCTGTGGATGTTTTGGTAATTAGTCGCCTGCCTGCTCTGTTTCCCATATCGCTGCCATCACCTCTTCCTTCAAACAACTGAAGAAATCTTAGAAATGCAATGCTCTTAGCAGCGGCTGGTACCGATGACTGTTCTCTCTCTAACAAGCACACATACGCATACAGGGAGGTCAAAGGGGATTGCACTAATGCTGTTCTGCAGTACTTATGACTCAGTATACTCTGAGAATCGGCAAGCTGGTTAAAACCAGGCAACAAATGGTCCTTAAAGGCAGTGCTCTGCAGCGCACCAG